CCCCGGTGCTCCGGGGGACTGGAGCCTTCTCCCAAATTCCAGCCTGCAGCAATTCACGGGGTGTTTCCACCCCCCCGCAATGGCAATAACCGTGTGTCTTCCCGCAGAAGTTTGGCGGCGATTGGCTACACTTTCAAGCTTTGCTTTGTCGGAAGAAATAGGCTCTGCTCTTGTGAGGAAGGCTCCGTCCACGTCCCCGACTTCTGTGCCTCGCTTCCAACTTGAATGAGCATTTCTTCACCCTGAGCGCCCAGAACTGCACTCGGTATCTTCAGCGAAGTCTCACCAGGACCTTTCACAGCGGCACCGTTTCCTTATTCCTAGTGGAAGTCCTTTGCCTGACACATCCTAGGATCCCATTTGCCTTTTTCAAAGCCACAGTAGGATCACAGCCTGTAGGCATTCTCAGGCTCCTTTCCTCCATCCCTTATAGCTGATAACCCACCAATTTGGAGCAGAAATTTTCACCGTTTCTCTACTGCCACTTCTGGAAGACTTCTCGTTCTTCCATGGCTCTGCAGCCCTCCCTCCTGTTCATATTCCCCGTCAGCACATGTCCACTTTTACGTTCCCATCAATAACGTAACCGTTCAACGGGAGTCATCCAAGGTCCAATCCCCCAGGAGCACTGTTGGGAAGCCCCCAACAGCTTCTGTTCAACCAGTGGTCCCTGACCCTGTCCCCTTAGCGCTCTGCATTTGTCCCCCCGTTACCGTACTGACCACTTCTGCGCTTCCTGCAGTCAAAACTACTCTCCAACATCACCGTGTAACCTCGCAGAGATCGCTCCTGCTTTAAACATTGCAGTTATGCTGCACACTGGGCAGCCAAACAAAACTCTCACTTTTGGAAATGGGCTTCTACAATTAGCAGCAAATACAGAACTGAAATTAAAAATGAACAAGAGTGTACATTACTAGCAAAATATGCAAATATGGTATATAAAAATGCTCAATGTTCTGCTTTTTTGTGATCTCACAGATCTTTCTAAAAATACTCTGCTTTTTTGTGATCTCACAAATCTCTCTAAAAATAAACACGAAACCAGAAACTACTCTGCTGGGAGTTGAGGGTGAGGAAAAGAAACGTACCTACTCCTTTCACACGGAAAAGCGAGCTACTTTTGGGAGCACAGTAAGTGGCAGTTCAGTTTCTTCAGATCAGGCAGTTAAAAAATAAGTTAGCAGCATTCCTTTAATGACAGTCCTTGGATCCGTGAGAAACCCACATGCTGCTTAGTATGGCGAACCCTGCAGAGACAGAACCATCATTCCAACTCTCACAAACTAGGAAAAAACCCTCAGAAGATTTTCATTATTTTTATTACCGTTTTTCTGAATTTAAAATTCTTAGACGTTTCTTACTGGAATGCAGTAGCTGGGCAGGGTAAAGGCTTTCTTCCACCTAGACCCAAGACGCACGGAATCACATACCCCTTCCACCTCCCTTGTGCAAGACAAGCACACAACCCTCCCCTTGTTCATCAGTTCTCGTAAGGAAAACTCGAGTAATATATAAGCACATACAGCACCAATATCGCCACAGCCAAGCATGCCTGTGTGGGGTGCAGAGGATAAATGGCCATTTTTAAAAAATCCAAATCACGGCTTATGACAGCTAATGCACTACAACATGAGAGGATGTATGGAGAGAAGAGATGGATGAGTCGTTCTGGCCAAGTGGGCTGTGTAGCCTAACAGTGGCACTTCTGCAAAACCAACCCCAGAGGGTGCTGATAATCTAGACAGCAACACCGTAACTTGGAGACCACAGGCACACAAAAGCTCTAATTTAACATGTCAGTCTTACAAGTGTAGATGCCCCGATGAGTCCAGCTAGTCCTGATCATATCCAACAACTGCACATCTCTTTTGACTTCAACCTGATACAATGGCAGCATTTCCTCTTGCAGCTGCCAAGGAACGGCCCAATGCCAGCAAACAATGGTCTTCCTCATAGGGATCATGGAGGAAATGATCAAAGCATCTCCAGAGATGGGCTGCAGGTCCTCCTCCTCCTCTTCCTCCTCCAAAGCATCAATAAGGATGATGCTTTCATCATCCTCACTTATCCCTTCTTGAGGTTCCTCAGAGTGTTCTGAGGAACAGCATTCTAAACATTCATCTTCACGCTGCAGGTTGAAGTTGGTGGGTTGGTTGAATTACGCTTCCAGCAGTAAGTTTCCAAGGTCTCCTCTTCTTGGCACTGCAGTTCTATATGGATTCCTTGTCGGACTGAAGGTCTACCAGGATGCACCCAGGACTAGAAAGCGGTGAGTAATCTTCCTCCACCTCCGGCTGCGGGCTGGCTTTGCAGCCCACCCTTTCTGAGGTTGTCTCGAATCACCTGAGTGTTCCTCGCCTGCGTGACAACTGTCAGTAACAGAAACCAAGTCCGCCTCCATCCTATGGTACCATATAGTGCTTACTTGTTAGTAATTGTGGAGACAGGCAGTACAAATTCCTGTGACCTCTCATGGTTGGCTTCTTTCATGTCAGCTTCCTTAGAAAAGAAACAAGAATTTCATTATCTGCCAGGCAAAATTAGCATTTAAGATGTCAGTTTAACTGAAAATACTTTAGTAGTAATACATAATGCAGAACACTCCAAATGGTGTCTCATGGGTTAGATCAAGGACCCAGGGCAACTCTATTCAGTGCATCACGTCTTCATTTGTTGGTCTGAGATGAGAGAGAAAAGGGCTTCTATGGCAAGGTAATAAAACCAGCATGTACACACCCCAACACTCAGACTGACAAAAGTGTTAACACACTCATAAAATTCATGAGTATGGTCCCAAAACTAGCCTCTTGCTTTCAATAATGAAGAGCAGGCCACTCTACTAAGGTTGCCCTTTTAACCTAAAATAAAAAAAGAAATTTGGAGATCTTATCTCATGCAGGTTGGTCTTCAGACTAATATACTTAGCTCTATCAAGTTCCACATATTTTAATTTTTCCTCCTAATACTGAGGTATTTAAAATGTACTCTGCCTTCTATTTCATATGTTGTATTTATGAGCACATGATTTCATTAAATTCTGCACTCTAAGCCTTTCCCATCAGCCTTGATGAGTTATCCCAGCACATGCAAAAAATAAGCTGTAATCCTCAAGGGGAAGGAGGCAAAAAAAATAAGTGAAACACCTATCTCTTTACAATATACAATTCCTATTAAAATTATGTTATTGGTGCTTTGTACCTTTCCTACATTTATACTCCCAACAGACATATATGGATCCCAAATCCTTTTTCTTTATGCTACCTCACTTTTATATGTTTTAAAAGTGAAGAGACTGTCAGGACAGATGAGTATCTGCAACCTACTATTTGTCAGTTAGATCTGCTTTGGAATTTTTTTTTTTTTTTTAAAGGATCAGACTCTGCACTCCCATCTTTCCGTTAAATTCACTTAGTGCAAACTTGCTTGCTGTCACAATGGAAGCTTAATATATTTTATGAAGGCTTTAAAATCACATGCAATCAAATTTGAATTTTTATTGCCCATATAGGTTTCTCTCCCGACATCTGGCTACTTTTTTTTAGGACTGCCATAAAAACACCTTAAACATCTGAGAGCTTCAGACTCTTCTACATAAAACAAAACAAAAAAAACCCCAAGTTTTCTTCTAAGTAGGAGCTGAATTCAGAGAGACTTAACTGATATTTGGCTGAAGCTCGAACTTTTAACTCCCCAGGGGAAAGATGGGCTCCCTTCAGCACACTGAACTCTTGATGAAAGACTAGCAATAGCTGTTTACTGTTAGAGATACTCAATTTTGCAAGAACACCATCACAGCACCCAACAGCAAGTGCTCTCCTACCACAGCTGATTACACCACATGCTACGTGCTACAGCCACAGAGAGGGAGAGCAAGCAGCCAACAGTCCAGCAGTACCCTGCTGAGAGTACGATTAAAAGAAGGTTCAGGATCTCTGATGGTGTCCTCTCTCAAATCACCTGGAGCACAGAATCGTTTCACTGTCTCTAGCCAGCTCCAGCCTGTTATCGTAACATGCTTTTTTCCATGAAGCTTGCCAGGATCTTCTAGGTCTTTGGGTCCCAGTCAACTGGCATCTCATAAAAAAGGTGTTTGGAAGAAATGAACCTGTTGAGAAAACAAGTCCTAACTACAGCCAAAGTCAGATACGGTTACAAAATCTAGAGTCAAGCTGTAAAGAACATGGAACAATTAATAGGAGGAAAGTAGGCAAGGACTGCAAAAAGCACATTAGTCAAGTAGTAACGTTCTGGCATGCTCTTGTTTCTCAAACTTGCATTTTCCTTTGCACATATCGATCTAGACTGCCAACAAATCTCTATGCAAAACTCGTGTGTGATTTTGCTAACATCCCCAGCTCAACTCTGACAGCTCAATTCAAGTGCTGGACATGGAAGACTGCAAAGGAGTCTGCAAAGCAATAACCTGACCTTTCTGGTGCAGGACAGAAGGTCATATGCAAGAACAAACATCCACGCCCTATGGCTTCCTGCAATGACGGGCTGTGGTTTTAGAAGAGATGTATCCGTTATCTGCATATGTACCTTATACGTGCTTTATTTTGAAAACCCACAAAATGTGTACACAAGCTTGTTAAAGAGTTAAAGGAGAAATCTGTACCTGCTGAAAAGTTATCTCAATACCCTTGATCTGTACTTACTTGTTTTTATTGTAACTCTTGGATTAATAGGTTGACTCAGAAGAGCTTTCGATGATCTATTCAAATGACCATTCAGCATAAAGGATTTTTACTGGAGTTACGGATTAGGCGTAAGTGGGACGTTTTTAGCGGTGCCCCAGGAAAACACACACTCTCTCCGAGTTCCTTTTTTGATTAAAAAGGAAACCGAATGAGCAGCTCTGACTGCAACACGGCACTTCACTCGAGCCACCGCAAAACCCCGCGAGGGGAGTTTCCCAGCCCTCTCCCCCAGGGCCTGCCCCCCTCGGCCTTCGCTCCTCCCAGGGCAAAAGGGCGATGGGCGGGCGGGAAGCTCACACTGCCCGCGGCC